GCGCAGCGCCGCGCCGCCCACTGTGCCGCGTGCATCTCGTCTCACGCGTGAGGCACAGGCCGGAGACACGGGCCCGAATCTGAGTGGTTCCCTTCATACTGTACCCTTCTCCCTGCCCACCACCCTTCTAGACTGAGAAATGGGAACGTGGATTCAACGACGAATCGACGTCGAAACATCGAGAAGATGTGGATTGGGGGGACAAAATGACGTTTATTCGACTGTTTCGACGTCGAATCGACATCGAATCGACGTTGAAAACTACTCATTTATCACTGGGGCAGTTCCAAGCTATGGCTTTTGAACTCTCACCTCAAGCAGACGCCCCCCCCCCTCCCCCTTTACTGGTGACTCCTCCCCCCTCCTGCCTGATTGCTTGTTCTCGGAAAAAAAGGACGATCCGATAAAGGTGGTGGTGTAGGTTTAGTGGGGCTGGGGAGGTTGTACGTGCGTTTCTGAGTAGTGTGTGTGCTTGTATAGGTAGAGGGTAGGAGAAGGTAATTTTTAGTGTTACAGGGAGTGGGAATCAAGTGTCATTCAAAAACTTAAATCAGGAGACATAAAACTGCAAACAGAAAAAAATAAATCACTAAAACTGTGTTTAAACACCAAGAATTTTGCATGCAATTTAGTTGCTTTTGACGTCAGTGAACTAATTTTGTGAAAATATGAGACAAAAATGAAAAAGAAAAGATTGTTCTATGAGCCGGAACGCCTGGCAGTTAGGCATTACAACGCACTCGTCCGAGGCAGGTGGCCTATCCCCAGGACAGCAGGCGCCCAGGCTTGGGAAGCGGCGCGCCTGTTCACATAGGGTGACAGGATGGGCCTGGGCTTATATCCCCTCTTCCTGCTTTTTATTTTGGGCGGAAGAGCAGGTAAAGGATATACGACTAGAAATACGGAAGGTGTCCGATATAACAAAGAGGAGGAAAGTTGGGACGCGACGGACACCTTTCCCACCTCACCCCTTCCCGGCTGAAAAAACAAAACAAAAAACAACTGTTCCTTCACACACTCTTCCGCTTTGGAGAATTATTGGAGTATCCTTTCATCCCCTTGCCTTTGTTAGCTGGTGAAGGGCTGTGCGATATCTCAATATTTCGATCTCGATACCCCCTATGTAAAACCGCTCCCCGCCTCCGCGGCTGGAAGAGAACGCTCAGCTTACTCCCCCGAGAATGTAATATTGGTATCATTCGAAAGAGGCGAAAATTTTCTCACTACATCGTGACGTGGTCCTGTCGCTAGAGATGGTCACTTCATGCGATCACATATTTCGCATAATGTTTTAGAATCGTTCAAAATGGAAAGATATCAACTTTTTAATGTTAATGGACCATTGTACAGTGCATTTCCAGCCCGCATAATTTCGCATAATCTGGCATTTTTTCCCGCATAACGTTTTTTTTTTTGCATTATACGCGCATAATTCGCATTTTCCACGAACAAATTAGCGAAATTACTGCAAATTTATCAAGATTTTAGACTTTTTGTCGTGTTTTAACTGTATGTTTTAATAAAAACGTGGGTCTTTTGACGGAAATAACTGATTTTTCTTCCTTTGCGCTGTCCAAAGGAGGGTTTTCCAGCAAGCGAAAAGGCATCTTACCTGTACACCAAATTTTGGTTCGTACACCTGTTAGCTCCACTGGGTCAAAGCAACCACCCTATTAAAGACATTTTTGTTAAAGAACTGGATTAACGTAGTTTTAGCCAAAGAAATGTTGAATTTTAAACTTTTTCGCACAGTGCGGGAATTTGGGCGCGATTTTTAAACATTTTTCACACATTTTTCGCATAAAAGTGCTTAGTTTAGCGAATTATGGGCGCACAATTGCCATATTTCCAAAGCATAATTATCGCATAATCAAGCCAAATTTCAGCGCATAATTTTAAGTTTTTTTTCGCATAAAGTGCCCATCTCTACCTGTCGCTGCGGGCCATGTTTTGTCTCCTGAAATATATTTAACAGATGCATATGTTCTTTTGAGGAGTGTAGCTCTACATTTTTTCTCGTGAGATGGGGGAAGGGGTTGGACAATTTTGGGGGGTTCATAATGAGCACCACATCACATTGGATGCGCTGCGGGCGCGGCGGGTGACCGCCATTCATTAGCACAAGGCCGCCTGCCCCGCCCGCGCACCCCACCCCGCACACCTCCCTCACCCCGCACACCTCACCTGACCTCACCTCACCCCACCTTCCACCCCTCACGCCGCACACCTCACCTGACCTCACCTCACCTTCCACCCCTCGCCCCTCACCTCACCCTCCGCCCCTCGCCCTTCCGCTCCAGCACCTCACCTACCTCTCGCTCAGCGGGTTAAGGTGCAGGAGTGTAGGGCGATGTAAACCAACTGCCTTTTATTTTCTTGAAATGGGTTGATTAGATAATATCCGGTTTGTGGAACCCGGTTTCACTGCGCGAAGGGTTGCGGCGGCGCGGCGGGACCAGCGGGACGCAGCGGTTACGAGGTCAAAACAAAGCGCGCGGAGGTCGGAGGTGGGGGAGAAGAGCAGCGCGGAGCGCGGGGTATGTCAGCTGCACCGGTGGGCGCGGGGTACCGCGGCGGCGCCAAGCCACTGGAAAGTCTCCAACCCCAGGTCGGCGCACGTCGTCAGGCTTCCTAAAAAGTGTGTTGGTATTACACTTGCTGACGGGTGGAACTGCAAAGTCACATTTTCACTTCCATTTCAAATATATACTGCGGCGCCTGTTTTTAGCTTAACCTTGTGCCGCCTTGTGCTTTGAATAAGTTCATGGTGGATGGCGGATGGGTCGCGTGGGAGGCTGGTGTTGAGGACTATGATAGCCCGAAAACCTCTGAGCAAAAGCTACCTGCAGTTGAGGTGCATATTGTTGTTTTTTGTGTCTTGCCTGGTTTAGCACTCCTCAGTTTCAGGTCAGGGGTCAGGGTTCAGGGGTCAGTCCATGTACAGCTGATTACGGTGGGCGACTACGGTTCTTCCACGAGCTTCTTCGCACTAGCATCAGCAATGACAAGAAATTTTACAATGGTATTGTTATTACTGAGGAAAGACACAACCATAGTTCTTTACACGTGCACTGAACATGTTGAGCACTGCCCCATGAACAAAGTAACTCTACTTTGGTACAAAACTGCTACTTTTTTCCTGATAATGACACAGTATCCACCTTGATTATTGGTTGATTTCCTAGTCACAAGGAAAACTCACATCGGAGCAGGAAGCATACGAGTGGAGTACAACGCGCCTCCGTAGTCGTCATTGTCTAGAATACCTGAGATGAAAAATGCTTACTAATGAGACATCAATATGCCTCACCACAACTTTACAATCGCACATAAATGTGTTTTAGGTAGGACGACATGCACATAAATATTATTTAAATAACACTCCTGTAATCGCTTTATCACATTTTGCATGACTTTCAAACCACAAACAAACATATAAGAAAAAATGTTTTTGCGAGTATACATAAGACGACTAAAAACACAAACCTATACTAATACAATCATGTTTGACCAGTAAGTGACACTCGATCTTATCGGCATAATCGTTCGGACAGAGTCGACAGTCGACATAGATTCGTCCTTATTTCGACGATTATTGACACCGCGAATTGAGGTAATTAATAGTAATGGATCACAGAGAAGTCGGAGCTGACGGCGGCAGCGGTCATCGCTACGCAAGGACGTCCACTCCGGGTGAGGCCGGCGGCGGGGGCCGCACGTGACCAGGTACTGCACAGCGGGTACAGTCACTGGCGCTGCTGGCGCCGGGGCCGCGCCGCGGCCGGGGCGGCGGCTGCAGCTCGGCGCGCCCCGAGGACGACGAGGCCGGCGTCGTGTTGGCCACGAGGCCCGCGCCGGCGCGCCGGAAGGAGCGGAGGAGGTGCCTGATGGCCGTGCGCACCGTCACGTTCTGCCACGAGTAGATGAAGGGGTTGAGCAGCGAGTTGACGTTGGCCAGCGTGAACGACAGCGAGAAGGCGAGGTCGAGCGCGTCGCCGCGCAGCCCCGCCATCCTGGAGGCCAGGAGCACGCACATGGGCGTGTAGGTGGCGGAGAAGCAGCCCACCACCATGACGAGCACGCGGGCCGACTTGCGCGCGTCCTCGCTCGACGGCGACATGCCCGCCGGCTGCGAGTGGCCCGACTCCATGGACTTGCGCCGCACGCGGCTCAGCAGCACCTCCCGCCGGATGCGCACGTGCACCAGCCCGACGAGCACGAGCACGAGGAACGAGTGCGGCACGCCGATCGAGCAGACGAACAGCGCGGGCACGACGCGGTCCGTGCACGCGCCGCCCTCCGCCTCGTAGTGGTTCCAGAACAGCAGCGAGAAGGAGGCCGCGCCCGAGAACAGCCAGGGCAGGCACAGGATCACCGTGGCGCGCCTGGGACAGGGGCACAGCACTTTAGGTCCTGACCTCGGCTACAGCCGACGGTACCGTCGTGTTTGCAAGACGGTATGGTAGTCGGGATCGGGAACAAAAGTAGCAACAGCAAGGGAGTGACGATAGACCTGCGAAAGCTTACAATCTCTACAGAAACAAAGTTTGTTGAGTGAAACTTTGAGGAACTCTTATAATTTGAAGGAAACTCCTCGGATTTTGGGGAAAGCTCCTCAAAAAATAATAAAGGGGAATTGCCCGTTTTCAAACGAAAGGAGTTCCTCAAAGTTTTCTTCTAAAAAAAAATCAGACATTGTTTTTTACCGTGTAGCGAGGGGCAGATTCACTCCGTGTCGGGGCGCCTGATAGGTAGGCACATTATTTCAAAGCAGTGCACCAGAGTTGGAGTGGCGGCCTATCCCTCGGCCCGCAGGGGTCAACCCCGAAGGGCTGCCGACACTTGCCGCCAGAACGACTCTGGTGCAGAG